AAAAAGCAGAGAGGTGGCCTAGAATAGATGTACTGTGCTTAAAAATGTCAAGTAGATCAGGCCGCCTGGGTTGGTTGAGTGTCTGGATCAGGTCATGATCTCACAGTTTATGAGTTCGAGCCCTTCATGGGACTCTGTGCTGACAGTACAGAGCCTGCTTGGGATTATTTCTCTCTATCCCCTCCTCTGCTCATGCTCTCTTTCTCTGTCTGTCAAAGTAAATAAATAAACTTCAGTCTGTCCTCAAATCCTGACTCTGTTTCTAACTTTGAGACTTTGGACAAGTTACCTAATCTTTCTGTCCCCGAGTTTTCCTATTTGGTAAAATGGGCATACCAGTGCCTACTATGAACAGTTGTGAGGCTAGTCATAATGTCTGTAAGTTATCAGTATAGATGCTGGCTTTTAGTGGCCATTCAATAAACGGCAGGTATCACTTCTTCTGTGGACTGTAGGGAACCACCGGCAGTTTGGGCAAGAGAAGCAGCTTCATGGATTTGGGCTTTCAAGACATTGTGATAGAGGCCACGACTGGAAGAATGCATGGGGGTGAAGGGGTGGGTGGGGTGAGGTGTAGTGATTGAGCATGAGCTCTGTGAGACCAAGGAGGAGGCTGAAGCAACAGTCTAGGCAAGAGATGAGGACCAAAAGTAAGGCACTGGGATGGAATGGACAGAAGCCATGACAATTCAGGTGGGAAAATGAGCTTGCTGACTAACTGATGTAAGAGGTAAGGGAAAGACAAAACTCTGGAATGATGACAGGCTTTCTAGTTGTTTAGCAGTTCCACTAACCTGCATCTGTGATACAGGAGGAGGGGCAGGCTGAAGGCGGGGGTTAAGGGGATTAGTAGGGGGGTGGCAGGTGAGGGTAGGAGATAGGGGGTATACTGAGGGAGCAGAACCTCTTAGGAAGCCCAGCATTAGAGAAAACAAGAATGCCTCATTGTTCTGTGAGTGTGGGAGACAGTGGGCAGGCAGCCTCCACATCGTGAACAAGTGAATTTTAGAATCTCTAGGGTGGGCCTGGCAGTTGTGACTTCAACTGCTCAAGGACATCTTTCTAATGCGTGCCCCATGCACTTGACTTTATCCTTCTAAGGCGTCCCTTCTCAGTGTAGACCTTGAGATCATCTTCAGGACTCTCCCAGAGGCCAACTACATGAGTTCCAATCCTCCTACTTAACCTTCTCACCACAATTTCCCAGGGAATCTACTCACCCTCTTCAGGTCTAATCCTGAATTATTTACGAGTACAGTTGTATTTAGTGCAAAGTTCATCTTTGAGGCCATTTCCTGATGTTCTAGCCAAATGTGTCAGGTGGTTTCCCACAGGTGAGAAGACACAAAGACAACAGGAAAACAAAATTCCTTACTCTGGCTTCTCTTTTCATATACCGCTGTGAACATAAAACTGATACCACTTATATGGAAGATAACCATCAGACCACATAATAAAAACATACAGTGTTGTTCAGTTCAGAGATGGGCAAGAACTTGCCAGAAGCCCTGGGCCCCAGGCCTTGCTCTCTCTTCCTTACCAAGGCAGACTGTCAAGTGTCAGTACCAAATTGGGACCTTCTCGATATCATCAATGGACTTGGGGAAAATTGGAAAGGAAATGACTTTCTCAGTCTACAGTTCTGTGTTGTTAAATTCTGAGTCTCTGTACTGCTTAAGTCAGTGCGGGTGCCAGCAGGTCCTCAACCCATGTTAGGAAGCCCTCACTCCACTATAGGCAGTCATTTATTTTTTGTGTCTCTGCCAGAGGGCGTTCCTTGATGGTGAGAGTTTACTCTTGGTACCTCAGCAGCATACACAATGGCTGGACACAGTTGGTAGTTCATAAAGGAACAAAATGATAGTAAACAAAAACGTTTAGATGTAAAAGACTTAGGGCAAATTCTTTACTGGAGAAGGGGGTGGGCAGGGAAGAGAATGGTGGAGGGCCTCGGTGTCTAAAGCGAGTCAGGTGACAAGTCTGAAAGAATAGAGGCTACAGATATCCGATATGAACTGCACTGACATAACACTGTTGCTTGATGAGGTCTCTGTTGATGGCATAGTGTAGTGACAAGAGTGTATGTTCCAGCATCACACAATTCTAGGGGTAATCCAGACTCTGATTGTTTACTAATTACATGAACTATGGAAAAACTATTTTTTTGGGGGGGCAGCTTAATTACCTTAAAGTAGTGAAGTACTAAAGTACTTTAGTAACTACCTAAAGTAGTGATAATATCTCCCTTACAAAGGCTCTTATCATCTTTCAGGATAGAGGACAGGACTTACGAGACTAGCAAATAAAGACTTTGCTATCAGAGTATATCATCCTATCTCTCTATTTCTCTATCCATCAATCATATTAGTCTCAGTAAGTGTTCAAGATGACTATTGTTCCTGTTGTTTTGGTAGTAGAATCCCCAGTACTCACTATGGTTATGAGCACACTATAAGCACCCAACAGATGTTTATTGGTTGAAAAAGCTACACTGACCTGTGAGATCTCTACAGGAAATTATTCCTTCTCCAGGCTTTCCTGTCTGAGTATACATCACAACTATCTGTCCAGATGTTTAAGTCAAAAGTCTTGATTTCCTGATTTACTGAGTGCCTATTACAGAGTAGACACTGTGCAGGGTGCTGGGATGGGGAATAGAGGGGAAACCTGAAAAGTTAGATCCAACCTCAGCTCTCAAGGATGTTAGAGGAAAAAGGAAGCAAAAGAACTTGTCATTTGCTCAATGTTTTACCCATCTTTAGATGTAGCTTGTAAATGAAGTATTTTAAGAGCATTTTTGACAACACTTGGGCAAACATGTAGAAACACTTAAAATCCACAGCCATCTGAATTGAGAAAGGCTATTATCAATACCGTGCAAAGGTTCCCTGGGAATAGGATATGCAAATGCCAAATTTTGGAATTCTCACCTCTGTGAAAACTAGGAAGAAACACTATTTTACTTTAAATTTTTTAATTAAAAAAAATTTTTTTACTTTAAATCCTACCAGGATTCTCCACTCTGCTCTAGCCTCTCTATGGATAAGGTAAATGACTGGAAAGAAGAATTTAAAAGGCATATGAAAAGTGACTCTTGGCTAAATCTCTTGGGAAACCAACTTACAGCTGAGTGAGCTTGCTTAGATCTTCTGAGTGTGGGCTGTACTTTATAAATATCTACCTATCTCTCTCTCTATATAAAAACGGCTTTAGAAAAATTCTGTTAGTCTTTGGCTTAATTGTGAGTCACTAGGCCCCTCATTTTAGAGAGAGAGAGAGTGTGTGTGTGTGTGTGCGTGTGTGTGGTGGAGGGAGAACTCTGAGCACAAAGCGTGTATGTACTTGTAAAAAAGCATTTGGAATGTGTGTGTAGGAAGGGAACGTTATAGTTTTTTATGTAAGGAGAGAGTATGTGGAGGGGAAAATGTGTGTGTGTGTGTGTGCATGTGCGTGTGTGTGTGTGGGCATGTAGTACAGGTGGTGGGCTGAGGCACGTGAAGAACCAGCCTCTTGGAGATCCAGACGGTGGTATGAGATAGAAAATGTTGTTGATGGTGATTGTTTTCATTTTCGACCAGCATACAGGTCTTTGAGAAGCCCTTGACTTTCTCCTCCTCCTTGTCTTGTTAAAAAGGGATTAGAGTCCAATTAAGTCCTTTAATCCCAAGGTAGAGATTCATGTTTAAAAACAAGATTTACAGCTTTAAAAAAAATACATCCGTGCAAGTTGAAGTTTGTCCTTTCAAGCTGCCACCTGCCCAGTTCCAAAGAGTGTTTTCAGCAGAATCCCCAACATGGAGTTGTTCTTAATTACTTTGCCTCATACCTCCAGTCCTTCATCTTTCAAAGTACCCTCCAACCTAAATAGCCACATGCTGTTAGAAGTACTTCTGTTTCTGGATTGCTACAATCGCCCCTTGGTGTATCTCTCTTCATTTGGCAATTCCGTGATTGGGCTGAATAATAATAGTATTAACAGCTAATGCTTACTGGGGGCTTAGCATGTGCCAAGCACTGGCACTGAGCACTTTCCTGTATTATCTTATTAGGTACTCCATATAAAAACACGCAGGGCTGGCTTTGTGTGTGTGTGTGTGTGTGTGTGTGTGTGTGTGTGTGTCCATGTGACATGTATAGTCACATGGGGCTCTGTATTGAGAAGGGCTCTTCACTCGGTTTAATGCTCTGCTGTTGATGTATCAAAATTCTTAAAAAAATTTTTTTTTAACATTTATTTATTTTTGAGAGACAGAGAGAGGCAGAGCATGAGCAGGGGAGGGGGAGAGAGAGAGAGAGATACAGAATCTGAAGCAGGCTCCAGGCTCCGAGCTGTTTGTTAGCACAGAGCCTGATGTGGGGCTTGAACTCTCGAACAGAAAGACCGTGACCTGAGCCGAAGTCGGAACCTCAACCAACTGAGCCACCCAGGGGCCCCTTGAAATTCTCAGTCATTTTTGAGCAAGGGGCCTGCATTTTCACATTCCACTGGGCCCTGCAAATTATGTAGCCAGTCCTGAAAACACCCAGTAACCCACAATTTCTCTTTCCCTCTTTTCCTTCCTTTCCGCATGATGCCTAAGACATTGTCAGAGGATAGAATGGAACAGTGAATCTCTAATCATGATGCCAAAACTCTCTCTAGAAAATGGGTGCTATTGTCTCCTGGGAGAGAAGTTCTTTATGGGATGGAAACTATGTCATGGCTTTCAGCATGGGAAAGCACAGTGTCTGTGAAGATCTCGAAAGTTGTTTAACTCCTCTTGGCCTCAGTTTTCTTATCTATAAAATGGGGAGAACAGTAATAGTATCTAACTCAAGAGGCTGGTTCAAGGATGACATGGAATCATGTGTCTACAGCTCTGACATATAATATACACATTAGTTGTTATTAGTGCATTATGGATGCTCAGCAGGTACTAAATATCCAATACTGTTTATGACATGGTGTGCATCACCTGCCTGACTCCAACGTGCCCTTATCCCAGGGGTTTGTTTCCTACCTGCCCCACAGAGCTGGGAGGAATATCTCCTTTTTCCGTGTGCTGGGTGATCACAGAGGGGTTGCTGGAGCTGATGAGCACTGGGGTGCTGATCTCCACCATATGGCGTCCTGAGGGAGAATGGACCATCCTGTTGAGAGTGTTCAAAGCTGTTGTGATGGAGAACTGCCCGGGCCCTTTCCTCCTGGACCCAGGGCCCCTGCGGAGGGTGGGCGTGTTGGCTGCTTTGCCTCGGGAGGATGAGGGTACCACAGACAGGTTCTTTGTGCGGACCGATTGACGGCCTTTGTTCTTCTCTAGGAGGTGTCTTGCAGTGAGGTTGGGCTGAAAACACAGAAGGTCCATGAGAGGTTAGTCTTCCTGATCTGGTGTGAGCAGCTAAGTCCTATCCAGGCTAGTCTGAAGCGGGTTCGGATGCCGCCACCTCAGCCATCACTCTGGTCAGCTTCCTCCTTTTATATATATGTCCCAGCTACTTGGCTGCATCAAGAAATTCCGACAAGTCTCTTGCAAAGTAGATATTGCTCTCCTTCCTCACTGAGGTCTCCAGGGGTTAAAAATAAGTCATGATACTCTTCCCTGATCGGGAGCGCTCTTCCTTTACCCATTTCTCCCAGGCACACCCTCCCCTTTTCCTCCTTCAGCCACTCCTGAATGCCACTGCGTGGGCTGCAGCTTCTATCCTCTTCCACCGTGGCACTTTACACAACACACTGCAATCATTTCCTTCCCCCACTGGACTGTTAGCTACCTGATGGCAGCGAGCTCATACACGTTCGTCTCGGCCCTGTCCCACAGCGGATGCTCAGTGAGTGCTTGTGGAATCACGCATGGATGGACTTGGTCAGGTTTCTCATCTTATAAGCATTTGAACCATAATGTAAATGTATTTGGGACTTTGAATCTTTATGCTACGTTTACTACTTTCTTTAAACACTTTTAACTCCTCACATTTCTCTCTTGTTCCATACCTCTTAGTCTCTAATATGCTGGTGTTTGGAGAAAGAAAAGAAAAGAAAAAACGTAAGTGCAAGCCCTGATTTGTAGAGTTTCCCAATTTCTACGGTGCAAATACCTACCAATGGTTTAACAACTAGCTAGCAAAATTCCTGAAAATATAAAAACCAGCTCTGACAATTTAGTACCAGCTAGGTCTAGCACAGCCACCAGCTGTGTTATATTTTGGGTTCAATTCCTTTGGAAGGCTGGAATACATGGACAGAGTTGTCCTCCAAAGCCATGTGTCTCATTCCACTTTACAGATTCAACTATAAAGATAAAAGGGAATTTGCCCATTTCAGAACGTTTTAATGACAATATGCAGATGATTAACATAGCCAAGATAGAAAATTTTATTTTATTTTTAAATGTTTATTCATTTTTGAGAGAGAGGGAAAGAGAAGGGGAGGGGAGGGGCAGAGAGAGAAAGGGACAGAGGATCCAAAGTGGGCTGTGTGCTGACATCAGCTGGCCCATGTGGGCTTACACTCACAAACCATGAGATCATGACCTGAGCCTAAGTCAGATGTTCAACTGACTGAGCCACCCCAGGCATCCCCCAAGATAGAAAGTTTTTAAAGAAGATACAATTTCTACCTCACAAAGCTTGTAATACTGTGAAAAACAATCATTGAGTAGGGGAAGGGGCATTACTATGTCCAGTTTATTTTATCTATTTAAAAATTTTTTAAAAATATTTATTTATTTTTGAAGGAGAGAGAGACAGAGCGTGAGTGAGGGAGGGGCAGAGAGAGAAATGGAGACACAGAATCTGAAGCAGGCTCCAGGCTCCGAGCTGCCAGCACAGAGCGCACTCAGAGGCTGATGGGGGGCTCGAACTTACAAGCTGTGAGATCATGATCTGAGCTGAAGTTGGACACTTAACTTAATGAGCCACCCAGGTGCCCCTATTATGTCCATCTTATGTATGTATGTATGTATGTATGTATGTATGTTTATCTTTGAGAGAGAGAGACAGAGAGACAGAGCACAAGTTGGGGAGGGGCAGAGATAGAGGAAGACACAGAATCTGAGGCAGGCTCCAGGCTCTGAGCTATCAGCACAGAGCCCAATGCAGAGCTTGAACTCACAGACTATGAAATCATGAGCATGGCCAAAGTCAGAGGCTTAACTGACTGAGCCACCCAGGTGCCCCTATTATGCCCACTTTAAAGATAAAAGGGCTGTGGCCCGAAGGGGTGACTTATAAATGGCACAGCCAGCAAACAGACAACCAAACAAGAAAATATCAGACAGAAGTAAGTGCTTTGACGTGATAAAGACGGGTTGGGGGAGATGCCTACTTTAGATGGGGGTGGGTGGGTCAAGGAAGTTCCCCTGAGAAGGTGGCATTTAACTGAGACACAGATGACAAGAAGGAACCAGCTGTGTGAAGATGGGGGTAAGAACATGCCAAGCAGAGGGATTATAATCAAGTAAAAAGATCCTAAGGAGGGGGAAAAACAGTCTGAGAAAAAAGCAAGAAACAGAAGCTGGAATGGAGTGAGGAGCAGGTGGTAAAGAGACCACAGAGACAGGCAGGGGTGGGGTCACAAAGGTCCTGGGAGGCTCAAGTTTATTCTAAGTGTAAAGGAAGCCTTTGGCAGGATTAGGTAGAGGAGTGACACAATCTGATTTCTGCTTTTAAAAGCTCATGCTTTGCTTTGGCAGTTTCTTACAAAGCTAAACCCACACTTGGCATCTGACCCAGCCATCTCACTCCTAGGTAATTACTGAAGAGACAGGAAAACTTATGCCTGCTCAAAAATCGGTACGCAAATGTTTATGGCAGCTTCACTCGTAGCTGCCGACAACTAGAAACAATGCATTGTCTGTCACCTGGTGCACGGACAGACTCTGGCACATCCATGCAGTGGAATGCGGCTTAGCAATAAAAAGGGAAGAGCTGCTGATATACCTAACTACATGGATCAATCTCCAATGCTTTGTGCTAAGTGAAAGACGCCAGACTCCAAGGCTACATTTTGCAGGATTCCATTGCTATGACATTCAGGAAAAGGAAAACTATAGGAGCAGAAACCAGATCAGTGATTGCCTGCTATTGGGAGTCAGGAAGGGGCTGACTACAAAGAGTCAGCATGTTGTTGCACTTTTTGGGGATGTTGGAACTATTCTAGATCTTTTTTTTTTAATGTTTATTTTTGAGAGAGGTGGGGTGCAGAGAGAGACAGAGAGACAGAGAGGATCCGAAGCAGGTTCCGCACTGACAGCAGACAGCCCAATTCGGGGCTCAACTCACGAACTGTGAGACCATGACCTGAGCTGAAGTCGGACGCTTAACCGACTGAACCACCCAGGCACCCTGGAACTATTCTATATCTTGATGGTCGTGTGGGTATACTGGATGCCTTTACCAAAATGTATAGAAGTGGACCCGAAAAGAGTAAATTTTGCCATATGCAAATAAAAACAAATACATAAAAGTTTAGACTTTTATGTATTTGTTTTTATTTTTTTTTTGTTGAGAAGTACCAGCGTACCAGCGTAGAAGTAGGGAGACTACGTAGGAAGTTACAGAAGTTGTGTCGGCAAGCTCTGATGGCAGTGCGGGCTCGGGACAATGTCTACATTCCCCAGAGCACCTCTCCCTCCATTGTTGATTTAGTAAGAGGGCAACATATACTCTTTGAGTTGAATGAGTAAAGTTCTTTATGGTCATTCACAGCTAGAATGAAATCAATTAATTTTTTTTTTCCTGCTTCCTAATTGTTCTTTTTCCCCTGGTGAGCAACACCTTCAGTGTTTTCATCAGCAACATTGACAAAGGGCTTTGTGTGACTCTTGGTCTGCCCATGTTCTGCCAACGTGATTAATAGCTCGGTTGGGGAAAGACTGCACATCTCTTAAATTTGTACCCACTCATTTGAAACAATATCCTTGAGGTTCATTGGGCTGAGCAAGGTTCACATAACCCAGGCAGGCCTCACTGGAGAAGTCCTGACAAGAATGGGTATAAGCTCAGCATTTGTTTTACCACCTTTTTATTCAGGTGTAATTCAATAAATCAAGTGATGCATTAACAAGAAAAATCCTGTTTATGCAAAAAAGAAAAAAAAAAACCCATGCCACTCTTACCAGAAAGCTTTCCTTCTTTTCAGTTGCTTTGCATGGCACTGATAATTCAAAACTTGTTTAAAGAGTTCTTAGCAAGTGCTAGTCTTAATGAAATGACTGGAGTCAAAATTTAAGTACTGCTTTAAAAAGCTCAATTTAGATTTCAAGTAATTTTTGAAAATCAGGTTTCCAGATTAGAGCAACCACTTGATTATCTTTTTCCCCTCCTAGCAATTAGGAGAACAAACGAAGCAATGGCTAGTTTGATGATAATCTTGAGGGTTCTCGTAATCACTAATTTTAGAGGTGAAGGGGTGGGGAGAGTGTCCAAATGAATAATTATTAAATGTAGAAATTTTCGAAAAAAGAGTACCAAAAATGGGTAATAAAATCAATGGTGCTTTTTCCCCCCCAGAGCTATGGAGAAGCTTCTTGAAATTATGCAGGGGACCACGCAAGCTCTAAAATGCAAAAATGTAAGCACCTCCTATGTATCCAATTTGGTATCGATTGTAGCTGATCTCTGTCCTTGGAAATTTAACCACTGTCTCCCCATCACTGTAATTGTCCCTCTTTGGTAGCGGCTCCACCACTAACCTAGGCACATAAAGCAGAAAGTGGGGCATGCATTCTTGACCACTCCCTCTCCCCTGTTCCTCACTTTTGTCAACCTCCAAGCCCTGTGGATCTACCTCCTAAATGGTGTTTGAATCTGTCTACTTGTTTCCAATTTCCCGGTCCAAGCCACAGTCATCTTCCAACGGAGCCATGCGCCAGCCTCCTACCTGGTCTTCCTGTTTTTTCCTCTCTCCTCCTCAAATTATTCTTCTTACTATAGCCAGAAGAGCAGACTTTAAGAAATCCAAGTCTGGGGGCACCTGGGTAGCTCAGTGGGTTGAGCATCTGACTTTGGCTCAGGTCATGGTCTGGAGCTCTGTGAGTTCGAGCCCCGTGTCGGGCTGTGTGCTGACAGCTCAGAGCCTGGAGCCTGCTTCGGATTCTGTGTCTCCCTCTCTCTCTGCCCGTCCCCCGGTCTTTCTCTCAAAAATAAATATACAACAACAACAAAAAGAAACCCAGGTCTGATGGAGTTACTGTGTCCCTTAGAATCTTCCAGTGGTGTCTACTGACTTCTGGATCAAGCCCAAACTTCTTACCATGTGGCACAGACCACCATACTTATCAGATGTTCCTCGTGCTCCCCTGTACTTCTCAGCTGCCTTGAAGACAGGTGGGGCTAGGGGACTGGTTCAGGCCCACGGGCCATGAGTGGAGTGACAAGTGTCAGTTTTGAGCTGAGGCATTTGCTGATACACAACTCAATCCTCCTTACTCCTCCCCTGCTATGAAGACTGGGGAAGTCCATGTGCTCCAGATGGCAACTACAAGGTGGCCCAGCCTCAGTGTGGGTTTCTAGAGTGACTATGTGAGCACAGCTTCCCACTGTTCTGTGCCAAACATGTAATGTGGGTGAGAAGTAAGTTTTTCCTTGCTAAGTCACTGGCAGTTTGGGGCTATTTATTACCATAGCATAACCTAGTTCATCCTGACGAATACAGGATGATTTATAAAGCCCTCAGTGACCTGTCTCCCACTCACTTCCCTGGTGTGTCAGGTTACTGTCTTACTTTCTAAGCTCCAGCTCTAGTATTCTTTCAGTCCTGTGGATACACTATGCTTCCTCAACCTGCCAGACTTTTGTTTATGTTACCTCCACTCCCTAAAACACTCTTCTCTCGGTGCTTACCTACATAACTCCTATCCATCTGGGTGATCTTGGCATACAAGGTATTCGCTGACCTCCTTCCCAGGTCAGTTGCACATCATTCCCTCCTCCCCCCATTTATTTCCCTCCCTTTCATTCTTTGCATCATTCATCACACTTAAAAATTACTTAATGTCTGACTTTATAGTCCCTGCAAGTAGGAACCCATTATCTCTTTGTATCTTTAGAACTTAGCATAGGACCTGACTTAGCAGGTACTCAGTGAAACATTAGTTGAGTGATTGAATATATGTGTACAGGACAGGGTCACACTGAATGGTTTGTTTTCTTTTCTTTTTTTTT